TTTCATGTTCTGCACAGTATACCAACCAACCAACCAACCAACCAACCATCCAATCAACCAACCAACCAACCAACCAATCAACCAATCAACCAACCAGCCATCCAACCTACCAACCAACCAATCAACCAACTAACAAATCAACCAACCAGCCATCCAACCTACCAACAGTCCAACAAACGACGCGCATATGAAGATAGTTGGTGCTGGCAACTCGGGTCGAATTTAATCGCGCCAGAGGCATAAATGTGGGTGACATCTTTTGCATAAAATTGAAAACTTAATGACAACCGTAATAAAACCACTAAAACATTATCAATAACATCAACAATAACATCTACAACAACGTTATTAACAACACTAACATTATCATTCACAACAACGTTATTAACAACACTAACATTATCATTTACAATAACGTTAATAATAACATTGACATTAACGCAAAATGATTTAACAACAACAACAACGCCAAACATGGGTGCTAACATAGTTGCAAACATTGCCACTCAAATAAACTACAGCTCGATTAAAAAACAAAATGTGCAGAACATAAAAAGACAACAACATGAATTAAACAACGACATCAACTGAACGCCCAACTCACACAGTAAAACATCAACATATACGGTTTTATTCATACAACAACAACAGCCTCAGCAGTATGATTAATAACAATTTCAATGTTATCGTAAAAATTACTGTCACGGTCAATATGGATTATCAATACTGTCATTAATAATAATGCATCAAAACAGCAAAGATCATTTTTTTAATGCTCCAACGATTAAAAAAAGATTTGAATAATTTCATCTGAGTGAAAGCGGTAAAGAGCAAACATGACATTCAACAACAACAACAGCGATGACGATGATGACTTGCTAGAAACACCAACAAACATACAACATAAACATTGAATTGTAACCAACAGAAAACTTTAAAACTTTACTAACATCAATTTAAAACCTTACTAACATCAATTTAAAACCTTACTAACATCAATTTAAAACCTTACTAACATCAATTTAAAACCTTACTAACATCAATTTAAAACCTTACTAACATCAATTTAAAACCTTACTAACATCAATTTAAAACCTTACTAACATCAATTTAAAACCTTACTAACATCAATTTAAAACCTTACTAACATCAATTTAAAACCTTACTAACATCAATTTAAAACCTTACTAACATCAATTTAAAACCTTACTAACATCAATTTAAAACCTTACTAACATCAATTTAAAACCTTACTAACATCAATTTAAAACCTTACTAACATCAATTTAAAACCTTACTAACATCAATTTAAAACCTTACTAACATCAATTTAAAACCTTACTAACATCAATTTAAAACCTTACTAACATCAATTACAACAACGCTAAAACTGTTATAAAATTAAACATTTCTAAAAAAAAACGTTGGACGGCAAGTGCTCTGGTTGGCAACAAATCTATCTAAATGGTCATGTTGTTGACAATTTTGTTGTTTTTTTAATCTTAGCTGAAGTTTTTGTATGTTTTTTTTGTATTTTGTTTGTATATGTTTAGATGTTGTTTAGTGTTGATTAATGGTTTTATTAGTGTTGCTGTTCGTTGCTTTGTATGTTATTTTGTTGTTTGGCGTTGAGTCGCTTTTTGACGTTGGTTGTTTCGTTGTTCGTTGACATGTTTTTGTGGTTAGGCATTATTTCGATGTTTCATGTTTGTTGTTGTGAGTTTTGGGATTAATTCGTTTTGGTATAAATTTTGTTGTTTGGTGTGGTTTTTTTGATATTGTCCTTTGCTGTTGTTTTATTACTAAACGTACATGTTAAAAAAAGATATTCATCAGTACAATCAAAAAATTTTGCTAAAGTTTTTATTTTGGTTGATACTTTTGACAACGCTACATTGTAATTTGTTGTGTTTATAAAATTTCCACTGGAGATGTTTTATTAATTAACATTGAAACATTCTCTTTATATTATGCTTATTTGTTGTACTGTTTTGTGTATGTATTATGTTTTGACTCTCGTGCTATTTTCAAAGAAAGGTACTAAAAACATTATTGTTAACACGGTCGAGTAAAACATGTTCGGTGCTTGAACAGTTGAGTATTTGTTGGTCTGGCGGGGAATCGTTGCGATTTTTGTCGTTGCTGCTGCTGCTGCAGCTGCTATGTGGCACAACGATAGCTTTTGTTGTTATTATGCAGTTGTAGTTTACGATTTTGTTGCTGTTTGTATATCACCTCCGTTGTTGTTTCATTGTTGTTTGCAGTGGTGCTCCTACACATTCGCCCGGCCAATGTTTATGTACTAGGCCCTCTTGCTGACCTGCTACAGTGTTAATCTATTGCTTTTTTTATTGATTTTTGTTGTAATGTATAGCCTTACTTGTGCGTTATCGTCAGATTTTATGTGGCTTTCTACTTCGCGGTGCTAGTCGTTAAAAATTAAAAGTAGAAAAATAACGATTTTTCTACTTTTTTTCAAAAATTTTTGTAAAATTTTCAAAGCACTCTTAAGCATATATATTCAAGTAAGTTATTTGAAAATTAACAAATAAAAGTAAGTAAATGTTGGCATTAATTTAAAAAATGGTATCATACACTTAAGAATATTGAAGTTTGAATTCTTTATGCATTTGAACCTGTACGCTAACGCAACGCTTAACTGAAACACACTTACTTAAGGAAAAAATTTCATTAAAGATTTTTATGCTTTGAGATTATATTAAATTTTGTTAACTTTGTGGTTGATTTTCAGTGTTTGAATAGTAAAAGATTAAGATTGAATGATTATGATTGTATTTTTGAGATTGAATGATTATGATTAGATGGTTGTGATTGGATGATTAGATGGTTGAGATTGAATGATTATGATTGGATGGCTGTGATTGAATAATTATGATTGGATGGTTGTGATCGAATGGTTATGATTGGAAGGCAATTGAATGGATTAGCTACCTTATTTTTACAAAATTCAGTGTAAATTACACGCATTTCGTCATTTTAACTCACATCGGCGCATTCCAATATCCAATGATAATTTTTGATGAATAGATAAAATAAATCGCCGATGCAAACCTGACCTAGACTCAGACATGACCTATATACGTACTAAAATTTAATGACATTTCGGGCAGTTTATTTCTACGCTCTTGGTTGTAACGTTTTAATCCCACTATATTGTCATCATTCCACGTTGTTCGCTGCTGTTTTGCAGTAA